GGTCTTTGTCCTACGAGAAGAAAGATTAGATTGGATGATCTCCAGGGGTTCAAACTAATTGTTTAGTCAAGCCGCAAACACCGAGAGAGTGAGTTCTTGTTTCCTAAGCTCTAAGGGCAATGCGATCCAGTTGCCTTTAGTACAATAAAAGTCGCCATTAGCGGTTAGATGTAAAATTCAATGGCTGAAGATCAATGTCAAAAGATTCTCTTGCAAGTTAGTGATACTTCTTTAGCCCTCAGCTTTCACTAGCTGTTATTCTGAGTCCTGACCCACTTGCACGCAAGCTAAACAGTTTTGTAGCGTGTTATACCGATGTTTAAACAGATCGGCAACGGGATCATCAATCCCAAAAACCATGTCAGATGTGTGAGATTAGAGAATCGATCGGACCGGCAAGTTGTCCCCAAAAATTATTATGAATCCCTAAAATAGTGTTCTTTTAATTTCTAAAAGAAATTAAGAGTAGTGCATTATGTATTTTCATTATTAAATAAAAATAAGTGAATATTGAGACGTTTTCCTACATGGATATATATATATAATTAATAATATAATATTATAATATTGCATCAAATTAAATTTAAAAATATTATAAAACATTTTCATATTATAATATTAAATAAAATCCCATTATAAAATAAAATTAATATCACATCAAAGTATCCAATATTTATTAATTCTTTTTACTCTTCAAAAATTATCACAATCTAACTAACTATAATATTATATACTGAAATTGAAATTGTTTGTTTATATTTTATAATTATTTTACTATATAACTAAGAAAAAGTCTAAAAAATCTAAAATATCTAATGCTATCATCTAATTTAAAAATATTATTTACAATTATTAGAAAAAAAAACATTATAGAATATATAATGAAAATAAATTATGAACCTGTGTTATCCTGATCGGGATCGGCGTTATTCTAATCTGAACCTCTGTTATACACTACTTGTTAGAGGCCGTGGGGCCATATGACCTGATAAAACAAATTATGAAATTTTTTTTTTAAAAAAAAAAAAGTCTACAGGCCCGAGCTTGTAGTGGCCCAGACTGCCTTCAGGACACAATTTGTGGCTCGGGCCCTAGTTTTTTTTTTGGCCAGGCTAAGCTCCGGTACCGTAGTGATTATAATTCAAAGGTGCTGCATACCAATACTAAATGCCTACTCCTCTTTACGCCAAATTAAGAATTTTGTGCTTAAAATAATAAAAAATAATACATGCATAATCCCTGGATTTTGAAATCTCTATTATTTAAAATTATTCTTAAATTTTTGTTTTTATATTTATATTTAATTTTTTATTTTTATAAATTACCCCTACCTTAGATATCAAAAGTCTGAAGTTTAACTTTGTTACAAGGAAACCTTCAAGCTAATCCAAAAATAAATCCCTGACCATAAAGATCCGAAGTGTATCCTCCAAAACAAATATTGGCCCCTGAAGGTTTAAAGTTTAAAAATATAACTATAACAAGTTAAAAAATAAAACTCAATGTCAAATGGTTCTAATAAACTCCGGACCTTCTATGAAAAGAGCATAGGCTTAATTGGTTCGCACTAGATGATTTGCAAGGCTACATTCTAGGCTTAATTCCTATCAAGGGTAGGAGCCCTCTCCCCAATTGCTCACCAAAAAAAAAAAAAAACCTCCAGACCCTCAAGATCTTTCTAGAGCATGTTTTTTATATTAACTTCTGACTTTCAAGATCCGGGTTTTTGTTAGGAATATATTTAAACTTTAATATCCAAAATAGGGGCAGTTCAGTCAAAAAAAACAAAAGCAATGAATGCAGAGGATGGTCTTAATAGCAGGAATTAGAAGGAAATACTTGTACATTTCTCTAAAATAATTTTTGTCCTTTTTCCTATAATGGATCTTGCAAGGAGAAAATTGTATCCGACACAGTACCAATAGTTTGCTGGTTTGAGTTGGGACCAAATGCACAATTTGGACTGCACGCTGCATGCATAGTGTGTACTTTTCCAATACCAGGGAGTCCAAAAAAGATTCTCTCACACGACCCCCCCAATACTTTTCTTGTTTAACTTTTTGGAAACTTTTATTATTAATATTAAAAAACCATCAATAATTACATAGGCTCCTATTTAATATACTATTTGGACTTCTAAGCAAACGGACTCTATAATTTATCCAAAAAAATGAAACTATACAATTGAGTGGTTTAGAAAACGGAACGATGATCCGAATCTGGAATCCTAAAAACCGATCTGGATCGGTAAATCAACGATCCGAATCGAGAGTCGGGCCGAATCGCTCTGATTAAACCTTAAAAAAAATTTAAAAAAATTATTAAAATTCATTATAAATGTTGTTTTTTATGAATCTAATAAGAAATGAGGGTACTGCATTATTAACTTTCATTGTTTTCATCAATTTATTAATATTTAGATGTTCTTTCCCTGTATGAACTTATGTTGACCATTAAATTTACATCACAAAAAAAAAATCATAGAATTATCGTAGATTAAGTATATAATCATATATGGACTACAATAAAGAGTTGACTAAATCGATGAAAAATTGGCCACTAAAATCTCGAATTGGCGAAAAACCCTAATCCGCTAAAAAAACCTAAATTATTACAACCTAACTAACTATAATATTATATACCAACAATATTTTATAATTATTTTATTAAATAAATAATAACAAATCCAAAATATTTTACAATATCATCTAATTTAAAAAGTATTATTGACAACTGTAAGAAAAATAGTACATTACAATATTTATAATACAAAAATTAATAAATAAAATAAAAGATTTAGTTATCAATGTAGAAATTATTAGAATGCGTACCAATTTTCTTTAATTTTTTAGGTTTTTAGAATAAATTAGTGGAAGAGATTGTTAGTAGAAAGAGAGATTTCAAATGGCCTCATTGTATGAATCCTATCTTTAAATTAATATTACTAAATTTATGTTAACGACCATCATGTTATAAAAATAAAAAATATAGTAGGCCATTTATTCCTAGGTTGTATGAAGAAATACCTTTAATTTTTTTGATAAGAAATACTTATTGTGTTATCTTTTATTTATTTTTTATAAGAAAAATATGATACTTGTTGATTATCTTTGTGTTTTTCTTTGACAAAAGAAGAAGATATTGTACTACATTTTTTTTTTGCTTGTTGTATTACTTTTTTATTGTTTTTTACAAAAAAAATAAAAAAATGGTGCTGCCAAAGTACATTTTATTTTTTTATGCCTTTTGTTTTATTTTTTTTGCAAGAATACTTGTTATATTACTTTGTATTTTTTTTACAAGAAAAATAAAAAAATGTTATATTATCTTTTTTATCTCTATCTTGAAAAGCCTTTTTTTTTATATTTTTTCGATTTTTTTACAACAGTATTTTCTGCCTTTGTTTATTTTTTTGACAACAAATTGTATTTTTTTTACAAGAAAAGTAAAAAAGTGTTGTATTATCTTTTTTATCTTTATCTTGAAAAGCCATTTATTTTATATTTTTTCTATGTTTTTACAATAATATTTTCTGCCTTTGTTTATTTTTTTTTTATAACAAAATTTTTTTTGTATTTTTTTGTTGTGCGCTAATGGGTTCGAAGTCAAAAAAAAAAAAATGTTGTTGTGCGCTAAGGGATTCAAACTCAAAATATTTTTTGGTGTTCGCTATGGGGTTCGAAATCAAGACATACACCGCAAAATCGGTGTTGTTAACCAACACGGCCACATAGCCACATATGATTCTAGTAGCGTCTATAATAATATATATTCTATCATCTTGCTTTAATGATTTTTTGTGGGAATTATCTCACTTCGAAGGATAAGTATTGCTTGGTTCTCTATAAAGTCATGTGTCATTGACACTCACTTGCGCGTGTAGAAACGCGTGGGAGGCATACGTGAGGTGAGTTACCACGTGTGGCCACACCTCACTCTTGTCAAGTGGCCACGCTGCCACGTGTAAATCCAAAAAATACTGGTTTTTTCGTCGAGACTCGTGATTCACTATTCGGAATCGCTCGGTTCTCTCTGGACACAGGCGATTCCCGATTTTTTCGTGGAACCAGCTCGATAACAAGCGATTCCCGATTTTTTCGTGGAATCGGTTCGACAACAAATGATTCTCGAGTCGAACCGGGCGAGTCCGGCTCGAATCGGCGAGTTTTCAAACACTGATACAATCTATTAAATAAAACTTAGGCTTAGATATTATAATAGCATAAGCTAACCCTGTTAATAAATCTATAAATTTGATTCCTATACATATAGAAAAACATTTCTTATAAACTCATTATATAAACAAAAAGAGAAATTAGGATGTACAAAACAATAACTCATCTTTTTCAAAAAAAAAAACTTAAAACTTTTGAAATACAATAATTATTAAAATAAAGAAAAAAAATCTTGAAAGGAAAAGTTTATATAGAGCCGAGGCTCAAAACAATCAAATTATAGCCTACTTCAAAATTTTCACCTTAAATATCTTTAAATTGATGCTTAAATATCTTCAAATTGGTCATCTCGACATCAAGATACATGGACATAAGAAAAATTTTGATTTCAAGTTTTGGAAATAGTGCAACTTGTAAAGTATTGTTGGACGGTCAATTTTTAAGATTTTCAAGTTTTTATAGATATCTTGGAATCTACATTATTCTTGAAGAATGAAAGATGAAAAATATATTTTAAGACTATCACAAATATTTTCAATATTAAAACCATATTTCTCGGTACTATTTAAAAGTAAGCTCTAATTTGATTGTTTAGAGCCTCCCTCTATATAAACCGCACCTTTCCATAACTAACCCTTAAAATTGACATAATAAAGCTATGCCAAAGGCTATGCCTAACATTTAATAAAAATACAAAATACTGCTGTATATATCAATTTGCCCAACATGAAATATTCTTTTGTTAAATTTTTTTAAATTGTTTTTTTGGAGGAAAAAAAAAGAAAGTGGAGAAAAGAAAGAGACCACAAAAGAGGGGGATCTTACAGAGAGGAAAGCCAAGATCTCTGCGCGGCTGAATTTTGAGCCGCTCTCTTGGTCCGAATAATAGAGGAGGACATCAATGAAGTCACCGCAAATGGGTTGCCCACTCTCTCTAACCCGCACGCGTTCATCGATCTTCACATTTAGAAGCTGGTGCATTCTCCTTACAAGAATAACAGTTTTGCGCTTGATTCCTTGAGGGTCCAAAGGCCTAAGGATTGGGAAATAGTCTGCAATATTAGGGGTCCCAACCACCTCCATGATCGACCATACAAGCTCCTTCATCTCCTCCGCGGACTCGGACTGAGGATTGACCATGTCCGATGAGAAGATCATGTTAGATAACAGATTCAATGACGTGACGAAGGCGACATGGCCAATGTCGACTGCTCTCCGAGCGTCGCTGTACTGACGCACGAGCTCTAGGAGCTCACAGATCTTGCGATGGCGGAGGGCGTGTAGGGCATTGAGACGCTGGGTGGTGAAGAGCTGAGTGTTGCAGAGGCCGCGGAGGGTGCTCCAGTAGGGGCCTACCTGGGCCCATGCAATCGAGAAGCGGTGGTGGGACTCAGCCGTGATGGCCTGAAGGGTGGTGCGCCCCGCGAATGCCTGGTCATTCTTCTGCAACACCTCCTGGGCCATGTCCGAGGAGGAGACGACGACCGTGGTGCGGTAGCCGAGTCGGAGCGTCATTAGGGGACCGTGTGTCTCTGCGAGGGCTGCGAGGGCCTCATTGGGTTTGTTGCCGAGCCTGTGGAGGCTGCCCACTATGGGGAGGCCGGTTGGGCCGGGAGGAAGCCGGCCTGGTTTCTTGGCCGTTAGTTTTAGCCAGTAAAAGTACACCAGGAAGGGCAAGACAAATACTAGTGAACTCCAACCTTTCTCCATACTCTCTCTCTCTCTTGTGCTTTCTCTCTCTCTCTCTCTCTCTTGTGTTTTTTCTCTCCTCTGGTTTTCCTAATGCCCTCCCAAGCCTTCTCACTCTTATACATATATGGATAGTTTTGGGAAGCTTGAGATGTACGACACATTTACATAAAAAAAACAGAAAAGAAAAACAAAAAAGGGAAATTATCAACCATATCCCCCATTTTTTAAGAAATTTTAAAAATAAATTTTTTTTTTCCGAAAACCTCATCTATACCCTCTTTTTCTTTTTCCTTTTTTTTTTTTTTTCTTTGTTTTTTTTTTTTTTTGAATCATTCATCTTTGTTTCACCTAAAATACCCTTCATGATGGTGAAGTTTAAAGATGTTAACTTATGAGAACCTAAGGAAAATGATGGTAAGATAACTTCGAGTAATTTATGTAAGGACCCTAATTTTTCTTTTAAATACGTAACCCATTTTTTTATTTTTTCAAAATCAACGCCCCCCCCCCCCCATTTGAGGATAAAATCAGTGGTCCAAATTTTAATTATTATTTTTTTTTAGTTTTTTCGTTAGTAGGGCAGTGCCTCAAGCTTAGTACTTTACTAATGAAAAAAATAAAATTTGATCTAAGGATATCTTCATATTTATGGACAATTTAAAAAAATAATAATAATTGACCGATGTTCTTGATAATTTTCACCTATAAACAAACCATTTCGTATTGAAAAAAAAAAATTTAAGATCTATATGTAAATCACTCCATAGTGATGGCCTTGCAGGTTACGGGAACCATCATGGCCCAAAGGTCTTTCGTATTAGGATTTAGCGATAAGTTAAAAACTCAGGACCGTGAGGGGTGGTTCCCAAAAGCTATACGCCATTGGTTGATTCCAGTGTTTAAAAAAACGTCGAGTCGAACCGGACTCGCCCGGTTCGACTCGGGAATCGCCATGGAGGGATCGAATTGCTGTAAAAACGGGAATCTTTCGGTTCTAGAGAGAACCGGATGATTCTGCACAGTGACTCGCCGATTCACTGTGCGGAATCGGTGAGTCCGTGAAGAACACGGGTTGCATAGTATTCTTCATGGGATTCTTCGAAATTTGTCATTTGTTGATCATTTTTCTTGTTTTTTTTGGCATGTGATCTAATTTGCAGGCTGTAAATAGCTTTATTCAACTTTTACACAGATTAAATGGTTGAAAATTTTGGTGTTTTTGGATCACGAAACTTGCATTTTTAGGGTTTCCGCCTTTCCTTGTGTTTCATGCCAAATAAGGCATGAATCTTTCAAAAATTGCAGGCATTTTGATCGTAAAGTTGTGCATCAAAACCTTTTGTTACTAATTTGTGATAATCGTTGAGAAAAACAGAGTTTTTTGGAGATTGAAAGCTTCGGTTCACAAAATCAGATAAGAAGTTTGGGTTTTTTTTTTTTCCGCCATATGATTAATTTCACTGCATATTTTGAAGATAATGAGTTTAATTTGTAGGGTTTTTAACCTTTATTGTGTCTATTATGATTTAAAATTTTCAATTTTATGTAATTTGGTCAATTACAGCATGAAATTTGAGATGAACACAGAGATATCTGCGGAACCAAAATTCCGTTGTTTTTTTTTTTTTTTCCGCCTTTTGATTTTTTTTTCATGATATATTAGAAATAATGTGTTAAAAATTTAGGGTTTTTATTCCTTATATTGTTGTTTATCAAAAAATGTACTCAATTGGATGTAATTTATTCACTTAGAGGTGGATTTTTAAGTTAAAACGGCTTATGTAAATGGCTCTGTGAAGAACAGACTTTTTTTTTTTTTTTTTTATAGCATTCCATGATAGAAATTTTTGTTTTTTTTTTTTTGTAACCCATGATAGAATTTTTTGTAATCCATGATCGAATTTTTTGTAAAATTTTGTATTTTTTTTTTAATCCTATGATCGAATTTTTTGAAAATTTGTTAATTTTTTTTTAATCCATGATCGAATTGTTTTTTGTAATCCATGATCGAATTTTTTGAAAATTTGTGTTATTTTTTTTTTAATCCATGATTGAATTTTTTTTTGTAATCCATGATCGAATTTTTTGAAAATTTGTTGTACTTTCTTTTTTTTTTTTTTTTATCCATGATCGAATCTTTTGAAAAATTATGATTTTCCGAAAAGATGTGAAAATCGTGATAAGGTTTTGATTATCATGATGTATTAAACCCAATTTTTAATTTTTATTGTTTGAGTTTGCTGTATTTTTTTTTTTCATGATCGAATTTTTTGAAAAATGATGATTTTCCGAAAAGATGTGAAAATCGTGACAAGGTTTTAATTATCATGAGGTATTAAACCATATTTTAAATTTTATTGTTAAAGTTTTTGTTGAAAAAATTGTATAACGATAGATTATTTATGCAAAAAAAAAAGCATGTTATTATATTTTTAATGCAAAACTATATTTTTTTTATCTGTTGTTCATGGATTTTTTAGTTGGAATGACTGATGTTAGCTGGCTCTGTGAAGAATTGTTTTTATTATTAATTTTTTAATGCAAAAAATGTATGTTCTTGATAATTGAGTTGTAGCCATGTTTGGAGCTTGCATTTTGTATTATATTATCCTGAATGTTTGTAATTGATATGTACGAAAATATTATTGTCAATAAAGGTATTTTGCAATAACAAATAACAACAAATGTGACTACATGAACTACCGCAACATATTATCACTACACATGGTGATTATTTTTCTTTTTGAACTGTCAGGTTAATTTTATACTTTTTACATATTAAAACAGTTGAATCATGTCAAGATCTACAGAAGACCCTGCATGGCAACATGGGGTCAGACTTGATCCCAACAAAAAAGATAAAATTATTTGTAATTACTGTCAAAGAGTGATAAGTAGTGGGGTACATAGGTTCAAGCAACACTTGGCAGAGGTTAACCGAGAAGTTTTTCCATGCACTAGTGTCCCTAGTAATGTAAAAAAACAGATGGCGACAATTCTTAATGCTAACAAAGGTAAAAAAATTACCAAACATAGGAAGAATGAGGAGATAGCTAGTTTATATACACCATCAAGCAGGAATGATACAGAAGAGCAATATAATAATGACTTAGAAGAACAATATAATAATGAGCTGGACATGACCACAAGATTGAGTTTACATGAACAATATCAAAGGGAACGTGGGTTTAGAATGCCCGGTGGGTCTAGCTCAGACATGCATGGTGGGCCTAGCTCAGATATGCATGGTGGGCCTAGCTCAGATTTGCATGGCGGGCCCAGCTCGAGCATGTATGGTAGGCCTAGCTCAAATATGTATGGAGCGGTTGGTGGCAATATGTATTAAAGAGAATCAAATGTTGAAGAAATTGTTTCTAGGTTACCTAGGAGTGCCAGTATTGCAGATCATGGTCATAAAGACCTATTTCTCTCAAAGCCTAAGTCACAATAGATGACCCTAAAAGGCATGGTTAAAGGTACAAGAAACATGTTAAGGAGATATGTTGGTAAATGGTTCTACGATAAAGGGATTCCGTTTGATACAGCCAATAGCTCATATTTTCCACCAATGGTCAGTGCAATCCAGAGAGTCGGGCCCGGGGTCAAACCCCCAACGGCATATGAGCTTAGTAGGCCAATATTAGATGAAGAGGTGGAGGAAGTTAAAAAGCGGATTGAAGAATATAAACAGAGTTGGCTAAGGACATGCATTACTCTCATGAGTGATGGTTGGTTGAATAAAGTTAACAAAAATGAGTTTTTAAACTTCTTGGCTTATTCCCCAAAAGGTACAGCTTTTTTGTCTAGCAAAGACGTATAAGGGACGAAGAAGGATGCAAACTTCTACGTACGACTATATGATCAGATAGTAGAGGAGGTGGGAGATAAGCATGTAATCCAGTTTATTACGGACAATGAGCGTGCATGTGTTTCTGCGGCCAGCAAGTTGATGGATAAGAGGAAGCATCTAGTATAGATCCCATGTGATGCACACAGCATCGATCTTATGTTGGAGGAGATCGGTGAGATCAAAATTGTGAAGGAGACTCTAGAGGAAGCAAAGTTGGTGTCGAGATTTATATACAACCACTCTAAAATTTTATTTCTGTTTAGAGAACACTCTAAGAAAAAAGAGATAATCAGGCCTGCCATAACCCGCTTTGCGACCGATTACTTAGCTGTGGACTCCATTTGAGAATCTGAAGGTGCATTAAAGAGATTGTTTACCTGTGAAGAGTGGTTAAATGACCGCCTCTCAAAGTCCAGTACTGGTATAAAAGTGGACAACATAGTCTCAAATAGGCGGTTCTGGTCTTGATGTTTCAGTGTTGTAGAGGCCACTGCCCCTTTGGTCATGTTGTTAAGAATGATGGATGCTGCCAAGAAAGCTACCATGGGTATCCTTTATGAAGGTATTGAGAGGGCGAAATCAGATATTAGGGGGAAATATAATTTTGCTAGCAAAGTGATCGAGATTATAGAAAGGAGGTGGAACATCAAATTTGGACGTCCAATTCATTATGCTGGTAAATATATATTTATATCATTACAATGTTTTAGTTTAAATCATTTTTATGAAATTGTAAATGACATTTTTCTACCTATATATTTTTTAGGTTACTACTTCAACCCAAAATTTTTCTATTTGACACCTGAACAACCCCACAAGATAATGGAAGGAGTCAGATACATTATTGCAAGGTTGGAGAGAAGCCATCGAAACCAAGTAACAGCAATACAAGAGGTATTATTTAATGTTTGGGTGAGAATTTCATTGAGTTGTTATATTTGTGAGGAATATTGCACTAAAACGTAATATATTTGTTTTAGCATGCTATGTATAGGGATGCTATAGGATCCTTTGGAACTAGACTTGCCAGGAATTCTCGAACTATGATGGATCCATGTTATCCCCTCGCTAATATTTTGTTCATTCATATATTTAATCTTATGAATTGTTCTTGCCCTTACAATGCTTTTTGCATTTTAATCCAGCTGAATGGTGGGAGATATATGGTACTGATGCACCTCACCTAAAGAGGATAGCAATCAATGTGCTCTCCCAAACATGTTCTGCTACTGGCTGTGAGCGCAACTG